CGGTACCTGCTGAAGGTTGGCAAAGCCCTCAGCATTTGAATGCCCCCCGGCAGAGGTTAAAGGACATGAAGAAATGGTCAAGGGTAGGTTCAACCCCCCCGCCCTGGCACAGGGAGAGGAAGCCGGCCACGTAAGAGTGGCTGTTGGGCGTCAGCTGGCAGGGGGCCAACCCCACGAACCTCAAATATTCCAATAAGAAGGTATGAAGCGGAAAGCGAAGCCCCATCTCCACCGACAGCGTGTGAACAGCAAAACACCCTTCGGGTGCATATCGCAACAGGTCATCCGCCCCGGGCTCCACCACGCGCGCCGAAGGGCCGACCAAGATCTGAGTAGCCTGGTACTCTGCCGGGGACGCCCTCGTTTTCAGCTAAAGGGCAGCGGTATTCAGGAATGAGTGGCCCTCGGGTATGCCTACCGGCCGCCCGGCGTCAACAGTCGCTTGTTTCTTCTTCGGGGCTGCCCTCATCTTCCTCTTCTTCCCGGGAGCCACGCTGATGGGCGTCGGGTTCAATGGCCGGGAGGAGCTGGATTCCCCGGCACCACGAGGGGGAAGAACGGCAACCGTCACCTTCGTCCTCTCCCTCTCCTCTTCCTCTTCTGCAGTCTGCACGGCAAGGGCGAGCTCTTCGTCCTCATTTACTTGCTCGAAGTCTTCGGCTTCGACTTCGGCCTGGAGGTCTTTTTCCACCTCCATGGCCACCGCAGCATCACCACCCACCGAGGACTCCCCGCTCGAGGACTCGACATCTGAGTACGTCTCCGTCTCGACTGAAGGCTCCCCTGAGATATCCTGGGAGTCGCTTTGTGAAGACATCTTCCCACTAGGCCGAGGGCTCAGAAATGCTAAGTATCCTAAAAAGTTCTAACTCCTAGCCTAAAGGCACAGGGCACAGCTAGCTAGGAGGAGAAAAGTAGGGGGGAACTAACCTTAAGAGCTGGGAATCAACCGAAGGCTGGACTTTCTCTCTCTAGAAAATTGGGCAGAGCTTCGCTACAATGATATCGCACAAGGAAAAGGGAAGCCGGTCATGGGGTATTTATAGGCGCTGGAATCCGGGCTTGGGCCTGGGAACCGGGCCTCCGGTTGGACTGCCATCATTACCAACCGTGGTTTCACCCAATCGGTGACGCCCGCCCACGAGCAGTTAACGAGCACACACCACGTGGCAACCCCCCAACGGCTATATCCTGACGTTAGATATTCCAACGGCTATATCTCCAACGACTATATTCTGGGAGCTCCCGGCTACACTTGACAGACCACTCCTTCATCAACCAAGAAATTAGCCCCCGGGCTTTTTACTTCACTCCACTTCATCAAGGAGAGCCTCCGGGTACACTTACCCAGAGACGCTCCCGGGTTGTGCCCCACACGGTACATAACGAATGCCTTCGGGATCACTCCTTCAGAAGCCCCCGGCTTCATAACAGGCGCACCCCTCGGGGATCCCCCCTCAGCACTTTGAGGGTCGGGTAGCCCCGGGGAGTACGCCTCATTAACAAGTAGTCTACGGCACACAGGTAACGGGAGCCCTCGGATACCCTTCTCCCCAACTGAATAACAAACAGGGGGCACCCCGGTGACACTTCAACTGCTACTCGCATTCATTACGCCCTCGATCCCCGGATTGAGGTACCCCCCTTCGGCACCTCCCAGGACATTAACAACAAGCCTCCGGTTAATCAACACATGAGCCCTCAGGACAAGGATAGCCTTCAGCATCAGCATTGTACTCCATTTCAGACCAGGGCTTCACGTTTTCGATTCATCATTGGGGGAATTCGGTGCACTCCTTTTCCCTCATTAGGATTTTTCCCACAGGGTTTTTCCTAATGAGGTTTTTAACGAGGCATCCCCCCAAAATGAAACGAAAAGCATCAGCCTTCGGCCCAAAACAGCAACACAACTACTGTACTCCTTTTCACCACTTTGCAAGTGCCTCAAGGAGTGGGGGACTGGAAGACCCCCCCCACCCCCCCCCCCCCCCCCCCGGGAAAAATCACAAAAATCACAAACATGACCCCTCAAGTCCCGACATGTGGGTAACTAAGGGACTGCCCTCGGCAGAATAAACAAACAGCAATCTACCCACAACTCTACAAACTACAAACGGAACAACAGCAGAGGACAAACACAATTACTCCTTTTCCCTCAAGTACCTTTCGGCAAAAGGAGTGAGGGACTCCTGATGGAGTATATGGCCCGGGAACCCCCGGCCCACAGACTCCTACTACTCCAATAGAGGCCCAACAGGCCCAGAAATCACAACAGGCCTAAATCACAGCGCCCAGAGTACCAAGCAGCCCACAATGGACACCACGGGTGCCTTCGGCCCCCTGGCCGAAGGCTCTAACTCTCACAGGAGGGCCATGACAGGAAAACAAAGTTACTGGGAAAAACGGAGAAAATCAGTGGCCCTCGGCAACCGGAGCCCTCGGCACCAAGGGGGTCCCCGGTACTCAGAGCCCTCGGCTAGTCATCTACTACCGAGGGTGCCTTTTCTGACACAATATCCGCTCCACATGCGTATGGATCACCGTACCCTGTACAAACGTCCCATCCAACAGCCGCATTAAATGCGGCCACATGCGGTTGCCAGCGCCAACCAGTTGAGGTGACCCCTCGGTCAATGAACGCTTGACACGTGTCCCTGTCCGACATTTATTGCTACTATAAATAGCACCCCATTCCCCCATTTGTAACCAGGTCACAACACGCTGAAAACACTGAACACTTGCTAATATACTTTCTCTCCATACTTACTTGCTCTGACTTCTCTCTAGTTATTTCCCGTAGTAACCCCTCGGATAAGCTACCCCCGGGTACACTATCCATCAGTTATGCTTTAGGCCTATAAGAGAGACTCCTTTTTCTTAAGGATTTTTATTATTTTAAATAATGCATATGTTAGTCTTTCTTTTCTTAAGAAAAGGAAGCCATTGTTTGTTGGTTATTTTGAAAGATAGCAGGGATTATTGATTCCATGCTAAAACCTACCCACTTGGAAAAAACATGGCAAAATTATTGGAATCAAATGTATCAGCACCAAAATCACGATTTCTCCTGAACTAATGAACACAAGATGTATAGCTCGAAGTTAAAACTTAAGTACCATCACATTTGCTCAACTAAGGTTAAATTAAAATGGTGTAAATTGGGTAAGCTATATGCAACCTTATTAATAAATACTAACATGCATTTTTTCTTGCCGAAAAGTATAATGGTAGCCATCTCAAGTCTGAAATGGGATTCCTCACCATTTCCTAAACTCTGAATTTAACGTGGTAGCAAACCAAAAGGAGGTGAAAATGAGATAAAAAAACAGCCTCCGTAAGTTAATGAGAGATATTTACCTAGAACACTCCACATGGACATTTCAGCAAACACATATCAATCAAAATAAAAAAGGATACAAACAAATAAGCAAGGAATATAAACACAAGGATGTGAAGAAATACAGATGAAGGGATACCAAGACACGATTGTACAAGAATATAAACACAGAGCAATTAAATCAAACAGACAATACAGAAGCAAAGAAGCAAGATCAAAGTCAAGAAACTATGCTAATTTAGAAATAAATTAGATATAAATGTTAAGGAAATATACAATTCATTAGAAGAGAAGAAAGAGATTACAAGACAATGTCAAGAATTTTAAAAAAATGCTACATAGCAGGTACCAGATATTTATAGATGAATAATAGAGGACTCCTGAGCATCCAAATAAGAGTTTCAAAATCATGGATGCGGCTGCTTGGTGGCCTTTCTTGAACGGAAAAGCAGAAAAGGGAAGGGCGCATAGGTGAAATACGGAGTACTTCGTATAAGAGATGCCCGAGAATCAAATAGCCTCGCTTTAAGCCTAACGGCAAGTTTGACACCGTGACCCTTTGCAATGTGACAACCGACAACTCCTTCAATTTGTATAACCTAATATGCATCGTGTACGATTGGCCAATGCAGAAAAAGACACGAACTTTTTTCTCAGTATCATTATACCCCTAACAATATTCATGCTTATATAATTGTAGAGAAAAAATGAACAAATTGCTAAAAATTTACAAAAATAGTTAATGTAAAGTTATGGATGTATTTAATTGGACCATTTCATTCACATACCAAACTTGAATAGACAAAATCAGATCGGACCAAGTTTAACTAGATTAGATTTAAATAATAGTAAAATACATTCATATTAGACATTTATCAAATTAGATTTACATAGATTTAATGGAATAAGAAAAATTCAATCTAATTGAAAACCTATATGTTCCAACTATATATAAAAGAAAAATTATATTTCGTCACCATTCCAAATGTAACCATGTTTAGTGTACACAAAATAGTGTGATTAAAAGTGTATACAATTTGTTTTTGGGAAAATTCTCGAAATAAGAGTAAAAACGTTTGGAAATTCTAAAATAGGACTTCTGTGTTTTTATCGTTAAATATGAGTGATTATTGTCAAACTTGAAAAATATTGTCAAATTTAAAGTCTGGTATTGTCAAAACATGCAGTAATTACTCATATTTAGTTTTAAAAACATAATAATCGTATTTTGGGATATCCAAACGTTTTAGTCCTATTTAAGACATTTTCCCTTTGCTTTTTAAAAAAGAGTATGCAATTTGGTAAGTTCTAGCTAGGAGTGAGCATATCAATTTTGAGTTTGAAATGAATTGAAAGAATGATCAAACAAAAACCGTTCCGTCTTTCGATTTGATTTGGTTTGATTTAGTTTGTTTTGGTTCAGTTTAATTTAGTTTGATTTGAAATTATTATTTTTTAATAATATATGAATGTTTTATAGAATTTGTTTAGTTCAATTCTATTTTATCCAGTTTTGCTTTATTTCTTTCGATTCTTTTGATACGATCTATTTCAAATGCTATCAAAATAAAATTAGATATTGTTCGATTTTGGTAGTATTCGATGTATTACGGGAGTGTTTAGATATGATTCTTAAAACTAGTTCTGCTCTACTTTTTTTAGAAGTTGGCTGACCACCTTCCCAGAATAGTAGGTTCCAAACACCCCTATCTATCTCTCTTGAATTCCGCCTGCATCATTTCCCCAGTTTGACTCCCGTTGGCGGCTTATCTGGGTAGATTGGTAGAAAGGAGGATTCCCATAGTTTAGGGTTTGGGGAGAAGTTAAGTAGGTTATTCACACCAATTAGCGCATTCCTCTGATCTTCGTACCCAATATACAGGCCTAGGCAGCGCGAGAGCGAGAGGTTCGGTAATCACTCGCTCATCCATTCGCTCATTACGGCAGAGTGCTGAGTACTATGGGTGTCATTTCGGCAGCGATCGGCGATGCGGTGTTGACCTTCATGTGGGTCTTCTCCGCCTCCACACTCGGTGTCGCTACATCCGTTGTCGCCTCCGCGCTTGGAGTTGTCCATCCGTTGGTGTCTCTCTTCATCACCACCTCCATGTTATTCGTCCTCTTGTTCGTTTTCGGTATTCTAAGCGATGTCCTCGGCGGCGCCAGCTTTAACCCCACCGGTATTGCTTCGTTTTACGCTGCTGGCTTCGGTAGTGACTCTCTCATTTCCGCTGCCGTCCGTTTTCCCGCTCAGGTTAGTCTTCTTCGTTTCTTTCTGTTGTAGTACTGATGGACTAATCAAAGCTTTTGTCGTTTATCGGTTTATGCAATCAATCTTTCGCTGCACCTTGTTCTAATTTGGGTTCATAGTGATGAATAGACAGTCGGATTCATTATCATCTTTCTCAATTTCTTCTCGTTGTATAATTGACAGGCTGCTGGTGCTGCTGCTGGTGCAATTGCGATACTGGAAGTAATCCCTCCACATTACAAACATATGATTGGTGGGCCTTCTTTGAAGGTTGATGTTCACACAGGAGCCATTGCAGAGGGTGTCTTGACTTTCATCATGTCCTTTATTGTCTTTATTGTCGTTCTGAGGGGTCCTAAAAATTCATTTGTCAAGAATTGGTTGCTTGCCATATCAACCATTACTCTAGTAATTGCTGGTTCTAGCTATACAGGACCTTCTATGAATCCTGCTAACGTAAGTAGATTTTTTCCGCCTTTGTTCCTTGGTATTTTCTCTGTAGATCCTTTGCTTCAATTCATTATTCATTCCTTGTTTGCTTAGCCTAAAAGAGATGGCCAGAGAAATAATGGATCTCTATTACCCGTATTTATTTTTCTGTTGTATAGGTTTCATGAATATCTGTTCTATGCTTTTGCATTTTAGTAACCCAAATCTCTATTTTCTTTCTTTTCTTTCATTCGCCTCCCTTGATTTGTTCAGTTTTACATGAAGACCTGGATTTTTTACCCTTTTTATAGTCTAATTTAGTTTTTACTGAGCAGATGCCAGAGTAGCCCTGGTATGAAAATACAAAGTAGTGAAGGGAAATAAATAAATGCACATTTATATTATATATGCTTCAATGTCATACTCTTTATCATTGTCACACATTTTACACTTTAAAGTCTGCTTTTCAATTTCCAGGTAAGAGGAAATAGAAAATAGATTATGCATTATAAACTACGGAGTATTTGATATTTTGATATATACTTCCTCTTTTACCTCTGTTCACTTTTACTTGCTCTGGTTTCCTTGTATGGGAGATTGTTATTAGTTGAGCCACTGCCTCTTTTGCAATTACAAATTTATTAAAAAACCTATATACCCCTCCATATTTATTCTCTTTCCAACATTTCCTACTTTCTCATCCTACTCTTCACTTTTTCTACCCTATTAACCATCCTTAAACCTGTACTCCTATTCTATGAAAAATCTAATGGTGAGTAAATATGAACAGAGAGAGTATGTGTTTGTATCCCATCTTCTCTTTCTTTTCTTTTTGATTTTGCAGAATTTGCGTCATTATTTCCGTCTCTCTGTTTGGCATCGATATCATAGATCGATTCATGTTAGCCGATCCCAAATTCTTTTGGGATTAAGGCTTGAATGTTGTTGTTGTTGTTGCAGAATTTGTGTCATCCTTATTGTGTTCTAGTAATACAATGTTACTTATATAATGTTCAAATTGATTTTACTGGGACACAATTAAATATAGTACTTCGTATATTATTCTGTTTGTCATTTACAACATTTGCTAATTTATTATATGTGTCGGCAGGCATTTGGCTGGGCTTACTTAAACAATATGCACAATACGTGGGAGCAGTTCTATGTGTACTGGATTTGCCCCTTCATTGGAGCAATATTAGCAGCTTGGATTTTTCGTGCTGTGTTTCCACCCCAAGTGAAGCCCAAGAAGCAACCGAAAGCAAAGAAAAACTGAAAAGGATGGTTCGAATCGATGGTAGGAGTTTAGGTCGCGTTTACATTTATGATTGGCTAAATTCACCCCTTGTAAATGGAGTGTGTGTTTTAGGTTGCTTATTGAACTAGAGGCTTCATCCAATAAATATCTCGTCGTTTGTATTGTAATGGCATGCCTCATAAAATTATTTATATGATGAACTGTCCAAGAGATTTTGTTTTGCAGAACCAAGTCCTACACCAGTCTACTTAGGCATGGATCCGTTCTGGGTCGGGCCGGTCCAAACCAGGCTTTTTTATTGGGGGTTATGGCCTGGAACCGGCTCGGGATTCTACTGGGACCAGGTCAGGATCGGGTCGGGACCGGACCGGGTTCCGTTTTTTTGCTTTTCTAATTAATTCCTACCCCCACGGCCCCACCCCTCAAACCCCTCCAGAACACCCGGCCCAACCCGCCTACCACCCAAAGACTTTGAATTTTTTTGGCCCGGACCGGTTGGGCCGGTTCCAAAGAAACTCTTGGCCCGAGCCCGCCCCCAAAACACCCTCGGGTCGGGTCCTAGGCCTGGGTTTGGTCTCGGGAAACTGGCTCGGGCTTGTCCCGCACAATGACGGGTCGGTTCCCGAGCAAACATGAATCGTTCCATGTGTAAGTCTACTCTTATGATAATTAGGGGTGGACCTGGGCCGGGTCTGGGCCCAGGTGGGCTTTTTTTCGAAATGTTGGGCCTGGAACCGGCCTGAGTTGATACCGGGTCCGGGCCAAACCGAGCCGAGCCGGGCCTGGTTCTATGTAATTTTTTTTGGCTTTCTAATTAACCCCTGACCCCCCTCCCTCACCCCACCCCCAAAATTCCCCCAAAACACCTAGCCCTACTCAAGGAAAAGAAAAAATTGAAAAATTAAAAAAATTGAACTGGGCTCGACACGAACCGCCCGGGCCGGTTCATGAAAATCATGGCCCGGAACCGGACCGCCAGAACCACCCAAACCGGGCTAAAGCCCGGAACCGGCCATCCGGGTCCGGTCCGGGCCCGCACAGTAGCGGGCTGGTCCGGTTCCGAGCCGGTTCAGCCCGGTTGTGTCCATCCTTAATGATAATGGTATCTTTGGGTGGTAAATTTATACTTAGGTTATGAAAACAACTAGTATCTACAACAGAGTAAATTACATAAATGAGCTAATAGCTGAAAATACAACCATAATATAGAAATACACAAGTGTCATCTTACAATAATTATGAAATGACATTAATGAATAACGTCACTAATTTTACTCAAATCAATAGGATCCTATTACAGAAAGGCGGAGAAGAAGGATTGGAAATGTAAACGCTAAAATCATATATGAAGGAAAGCACAATGAATTAAATAGATATTGTAATCGTGATCGAAATATGAAGTACGAAGTACTACGCATTATATAAATTTCATATCAAATTTAAAATGAGATAAAAAAAGAATGAGCACACTGTATATAAATAATCACATGTTTTAGTTCGACAATAATAGACACACAACAATGTCGACAGTAATTATGAAATTAGATTAATAAAAACAGTAACACAAATATGAAAAGCTCGCGTCTTTTACTCGAAGCAATATGATCGAGCAAAATAGGCGGAGAAGAATAATTGAAACATAAAAGCAGAAAATATTTGAATTAAATAGATGTTGAAATCATGATCGAATATGAAGTATTATTAAGGGAAAAACTATATAAACGTAAAAGCATTGATTAATAAAAAATGAAGAAAATATTTGCAACAAGGCTTCAAACTAGTCGTGTGAAAGCGTAGAGAAAATTCAAAGTTTGTTTAAGAAAGCAAATGATAATTCGGAAGAACAGAGAAGTGACAGAACCATGATTTGGCAAAGCTGATTTTTTGATGAACAAATCCGGCAAAAATGAATAAGTGAATATAATATCAGATGAAGATGGTGGCGGCAAATTTATTCTTGATGAAGAAGACGATCGGTCAAGACATACCTACGTACGGTTCATCTGTTGATGAGAGTTTTATTTATAAGCTTAAAGTCTACATATATTGTAAAAATAACTGACTATATCATGTTCGAGGTACAATCGATTGTACCATATAATTTACGAGTTTGAAGTGGTGTTTAGGGTAGGTTCCATATTTCAATCCCAAAATAGAATAAATAGATCAGTAAGACTAGATAAAAAAATGTCAGTTACACTAGTTTTTGAATGAGTAATAGCTCGTTTGATAACCCTTATTTTTGGTTTATCAATCATATCAACTATTTTTCTTATCAAACATGTAATTTTTGATTTTTCGTAGTGGATTTAGTAATAGTCATAATAATTATAATTGAAATTGATTTTATGATTGAATTTGCTGAAGAAGATTATTTTAACTATAACTTTTTTTAATTTTATTAATAAAAATATTTTAATATATTTTTTTTGGTAAATAATATTGTGTTTTCATAACTCATAATTCAACCATGGTTTAACCCAACAGTAAATCTATAAACACTTTTAACTCGACGTTATTTCAATAAATACTTATTTAATTTGCATTAATTCCGATAAAAACTCTAAAAAGTCAGTTCTTTTATACGGAGTACATAGGGTATGTTTGACACAACTAGCTGAAAAGATACTTTTATGAACTTTTTAGTAACTGTTAGCTTTTAGAGACTGAAAAGATCGTAAAAAGAAAAGGCAATAGCTGTTTGGTAAAAGTCGACTGTTTGATTTAACTCTGTTTGGTATACAAGCTGTTAGGACTAATTAATGCTAGAAGCTACGGACTTATGTGAGATGCTACTCACTGTATTATCTCAAAAAAGATCTTTATTTTTATAAAACCTCTTAAAAATTTGTGTGCCAAACATACAACTAGAAGCTTTTAAAGACTTTTTAAATAGTACAAAAGCCAGAAAATAGAAAACTTATGCGGCCTTATCCATAGTACTTTCTATTAAGTTTTGTTAATTTTGCCTAATCGGCAAGTTTAGACTTCTTTCTCAACTCACACTTTCATCTTCACGGTGTCTAGCTATTAACTTGCCAACTCAACAAAAATGAATTGCAGACTACCTGCGCGTCGGAGGATGTATTACACAGGTAATGTCTAAATTGATGAGTTAGACTAGAAAGCCACACGTTGGAGTCTCGTAGATGCTCTGAAAAAATCTGAGTCAATTCCCGCCTGCCCAAATACAGTCGGGGTTATTGCTTTTTCTCCACCGTCAGCGGCGGGCCTCGTTTCTCCGAAAAAATGGCTACAGAGGAAGCGTCAGAGACCATATTGATTCGGCATCTCCCGGAAGCTATCCCTCCCGAAACTCTCTCTAGACTCTTAACTCACTACGGCGCATCTTCTGTCCGGCCTTGTACTCATGGAAGGTTAGTGCACTCCATGGATTATATCTAAGGTCCCTCTAATTTCCTTTGGTATCGTCTAATTTCCGAGGGTCGTATATTATTATTAAGTAGAAGATTGCAACTCAAACCCAAGCTAAAGTCCGGACCGTTACGTTCTTGAACCGAACTATACTGGTAAGCCGGCTAAAAGCAACGGTCCGTCCACTCCACAAATCATAATGCCTATCACCTGTTTGCTAAAAGGTCACTAAGAAGACTGATAAAAGGTACCGTGTAGGCATGTACCATGTTGTGGAATTGCTCAAAACTCTCAAGGTTGGATCCTTTCACCAACTGCACCTTTTTCACACCTTTGATACTGGAAACAGGTGAGCTCTGTTTTGATCATTTCTTATTCCTTTGTTATTTTGATAGTTTCAGTCCAAGAAACAGTGAAAGTTTTAAAAATGACACCACATTTTTTTATAGAATTGGGATCAATGTATAAATTCAACTCCCTCTATCTCAATATTTATTCCCAAGTTTGATTGACATAAATGTTTAGAAAATAAGAAACTATGTTGTCACGATATATTTAGAAAGTCATACTACATATAATATAAATCCAAAATTTCTTTTTTAAAATTAATATTTTGAGAAAAAGTTTGAAGGAATGAGTAAAATGGTTTCATTGCTACTACTTATTGATTTCGTAGGCTTTGAGTATATATATTTGTGTAGTTAGTGGATGATTATTACAAATGAAATTAACATTGGATGAATAAAATTGAACAAGTGAACATAATAAACAACACTCTAAGCTTTTCATGGAGAATATAAAAGGGTCTCGCTTATTAATTAAGGTATTCAAATATATATATTTATTAGTTATATACGGAGTATATGAGGGTTTTCATAAACTTATTGCTGAAATAATACCTACTATGGACAAAAAATGAGTACAATTACTATGCGTATACTGTCATAGTGTAAGATTGAAAAAAGTCATGGTCATTATAATTATTACCATTGTCACAGCATATTAAAAAGAATCATTTTTATTCATTGTCTTATTTGTAATCATATATTGGTTATTATTGTATTTCTTCATATATAGTGATATTTGCAGTACTACTTGAGTCTTGACGCCACTAATATTATAGTTTTGCTCTGCCCCAGCAGGGAATCCTATCAAAAGATTTTTATGTGCCTCATTTGTTTCAACCGTAAAAGAAGATTTTGCTAACAATCACAGCAGGGATTATAGCAGTTTGGCGAGGGCGACGGGTTTAGCCTCATTTGTTGAGGAATCTTCAGTTATGGGGAATAAAAATCCCAGTATATCTTTAGCTCAGAAACTGGCCAGCTTGGTTGAGAAGACCTCTACAGTTAAGAATACAAAACAAATGTCTAGGATGGAGTGGAAGAGGTTTCTGGAGAAGAAAATAAAGAAGAAGGTGAAGGACCTGTACGTGAATGGGAAGTATAAGGACCTAATGGTGAAACTTATTAGTAGTCCAGAGACGTTACAGGACGCTTATGATTGTATAAGGGCGAACAGTAATGTTGATATAACCCTGGGTGGAGTTGACTTGCCATTTGAATCCATGGCTGAAGAGCTATCTTGCGGGCATTTCGACATAAGTGCTAACACATATTCTATTGCAACTAGGGGGCCCAAGAAAGACATTCTCGTACTTCCTAATTTGAAGCTCAAAGTTGTTCAAGAAGCTATTAGAATAGCATTGGAAGTTGTTTACAGACCAAACTTCTCCAAGATCTCGCACGGGTGTAGAAGTGGAAGAAGTCATGTGTCTGCTCTTAGATACATCTGTAAGGATATGAAGAACGCCAACTGGTGGTTCAGGTTACCTATGAGCAAAAAGCTTGACGGCTTTGTCCTCACCAAACTCTTTTCTATCATGGAAGACAAGATCGAGGATCTCATGCTATACAATGTGATTCGTACCATGTTTGACTGCCAGGTTCTGAATCTAGAATTTGGTGGGTTCCCTAAAGGGCACGGTCTCCCGCAAGAGGGAATCTTGTCTCCAATATTGATGAATATATATCTTGACCTCTTAGACCGAGAAATGTACAGAATGTCAATGAGGTATGAAGCCCTTGACGACAAATCCGGACTGAAGGCCAAAGGAGATTGGGCACAGTCTAAACTGCGTGAATGGTTTAAGAGGCAAATGAATGACAGTGACTCTACTGAGGGATATTCTGGTATAAGGGTACAGAGTTGTCGTTTCATGGACGAGATTCTTGTCGCGGTCTCCGGTAGCAAAGAAGTTGCAGCTCGTTTGAAGTCTGAGGTTCAAGGTTTCTTGGAAAACTCTCTCCACTTGGAAGTTGACGACAATATAGATATTCTTCCATGTGATGGGCCCGCTGGGATTCGGTTCCTTGGCTGTTTGGTCAAAAGAAGTCCGATAGAGATTCCTGCGGTGAAAGCAGTTCACAAGTTGAAGGAAAAGGTAAAGCTATTTGCTGCTCAGAAACAAGAGGCGTGGGGTGGAGGAACCGTTAGGATTGGCAAGAAATGTCTGGCCCATGCACTGAAGAAGGTTAAAGAATCTGAGATCAAACATTTAGTGGACAGTAATTCTCCTTTAAGTGAAATTTCCTGTTACCGTAAATCTGGAATGAAAACTGATCACTGGTTTAAAGTCTTACTGAAAGTCTGGATCCAAGATATGATGAATGCAGAAAGTGTGGAGTTCATCTTATCCAAACACATGACAGAACCTTCCCTCCCTCAAGACCTAAGAGATTCCTTCTATGAGTTCCAGAACTGCGTTGACAGATATGTTTCTTCAGAAACATCTGCAACTCTTGCTCTGCTCCCCAATACAGCTTCTCCATTTAAAACCCAAATTTTAGCCCCCATCAACGTCATTAGGAAACGTTTGTATAGATATGGGTTGACGAATGCTGACGGGTTTCCTCGTACATGCCATGTTCTCGTATTTCTTGACCGTAATCACATTATTGATTGGTTTTCGGGTATAGCCGCACGACTACTCAGATGGTATAGCCAAATTGACAACTTTAATGAAGTGAAGGTTGTTGTTTGTGACCAACTAAGGATGTCTTGCGTGAGAACACTGGCAGCCAAGTACAGAATACATGAGAAGGTGATTGAGAAGAAGTTTGATTCAGAACTGAGCAGAATCCCCTCAAGTGATGATGAGTTTGAGCTGATAAATGGAGCATTAGCGTCTCAGACTGCAGACAATGACGATTCCTTGATTTACTGGACGGCATACAGTGGGGCATGCTTAGTGTCTTTGGCGAGAACGGTTAGTGGGTCCCGGCCATGTGGCTGTTTTGTTATAGGATGTAAGGCTGCTGCTCCGTGTGTTTATACTCTTCATGTGATGGAAAGACAGAAGTTTCCTGGTTGGAAGACGGGGTTTTCGAGCTGTATACATCCAAGTTTACATAGAAGGCGATTCGGGCTGTGTGATCATCATCTAAGAGATCTCTTTCTAGGTCATATTTCACTTCAATCTATTGATTTTGGTTCTTGGAGGTGAATATTCATGATAATCAACAAAGCGTATTCAACAATTGTGTTTATTACGGAGTATATTTTTATTTTCAAGTGCAAACTTAATTTAAGTGATAGGTCATTTCGAGTTTTTATTGTTGACTGCGGTATTTTGTAGTCCACAGAATTTGACTTGATTGTTCTAAAGGAGACGGGGAGACACTTGTGGTAGAATAGGTATAAGAAGTACCATCTACAGACCAAAGTCATTCCTTCACCATGTCCTAAAACCAAATGTAGAAGTGCAGATAAAGAATCAAATCTCGTTCATTCTATGTAGACTTCTTTAACATTATGTGCAAGTATGTAACATATTGTTATGAATATATTCATCAATACTTATACTTGTGTAGTATATACTACATTTATCTCTTCATCAGTACTTGTGTAGTATATATTACATGTATGATGTATGATGTATCCCTTCATACAACCATGGTTTCACTTCATTTCCGTCTCAAAGTTCCTTCTATCCCTTTAATTTTCTCTCCATTAAATAGATTTCAATTGTTCAGTTTGTAACTTCTCACAATCATGGCAAGTCAAAGGAGAATAAAAAGGACAAACTACTCATATGGTTAAAATAAAATAAAGTAACTCTTTTTTCAAATAATTTTTAAAATATCAATTAAGAATAATAAATATGATAGAGTATGATGGAAAAAGCAAAATGACTTATTAAATTGTCAGTGCATCTATGTTTTGAAATAACAGTCAGTCCATTCAAAGTCATCATGGGTCATCCGGCTCTATTCTTTATTACAAGGGTAAGGTTGCATATATGATATATCTGACCCTCTTTATCCCACAATAGATGAGAAGTCTTTGCGACACCACGGTAATGTTGTTGTTATTGTTGTTATTGCTAATGTCGTTGTTGTTGATGGTGTATTTAAGAACAAGAAATAATATTTCGATTAGAGACATAAGCTTAATTAGTATAAAACGCGAAAAAGAGTTAAGAGAAAATGACATAAATAGGATAAAGACATGGACAGATTTCAATTATTGTGTTTCCACAATGAGACTCCTTCACTCCTATTTTAATAAGTTTTAATCAACTTATTCTTCTAATATGATTAGATAAGTCATATATTTCAGGAATAAAACACAACTATGACATGCTGATTCTTGGGACCGAATTGGGACCGACATGAGCAGTTCAAGTAGAGGACCGACATTGAGGATCTTCATTTTGGGACTGAGAATCTGAGATTGGCCAGATCGGTCTAGTAGCATGTGGCATCCCCCGCCTCTTTTTCCTATTGGCTGAGCCAATGATCCTTTGATGGACATTGGAGACTCCTCCAATACATCTTAGGACCGTTGGAGGGGCTGAGGGGCGGGGGGAATAAAAAAACTATATAAATATGTCTCATTTTTCTCATTTTTCCTACACTTTCAATCTTCAATCTTCTCATCTTCATCAATCTACACTCTTTCTATGATATTCTTTCAATCTCTAATATTTCTTACAATTATATGGAGTATAATTATTATATCTACACACATTCTAAATCCCTATTTAATATTCTGAAATCATGGAACCATCTTTCAATTCACCAACTCTGTAACAATTTTAATCTACTACGTTTTCATTAAAACGCTTTGAATAACCATTTCTATGCTCAATGTCTTTATTGCCCGAAGATTTTGCGTCTTGGAAAACTAAAAAGCACGATTATGATATGATATGCAAATACTTCCCTATGAAGCATTCACCACTCAATAATCATGCACACCAAGTCATCAATAATGAATACATGGTGTATTTATTTTTTTTAATTTTTTTAAACTTGAAATATACAATGTCTAAATATATCTAGCTACTTCATTGTTGCAATTCTATTTAAATAATTATAATAATTATCTTGTAGCATTATAATCCATATATGTTTAAACTTACAATAAAAATTTAGAGACATCCTTACTAGAACGGCATTATTATCCATACACGGCCTCATGATATTTTCCTACCTAGAACGGCATCCTTACTTTAGGGTTGAGCAAATCATAGACAAAGAAGCAACATCATGGGGATAATAGACATACTCATAGAGACATTAGAATAGAATACACCAATTAAACAACCACCAATTATAATAGACATTATAATAGGTAGTTCCTCATTTCACTAGGAAATTATCGGGAAATAAAGGAATAAAATGATGACACCTCATCCCTGAGAGCATCTTAGCACCGGCCGAAGTGCCGAACTAAAAAATTATCGAAGTTGCTAGTTCACAATCCTTGATCTTGCGCTGGACAAAACAAGTCCTTGGAAGTCTCCACATTTCTCAGGCCACATTTTCCCGTCTCTTTACCCCAAAACTATCCTCTAACCTATCCCATCCCCAAATATGATGGTTTAAGAGGGGAATAAACCATAGAATTCAAAGCTCACCGCCTATATCGCTATTAGTGATGGATTCGGGCCGGGTCGGGCCCGGTCGGGCCGCCGGTTCAAGAACAGTGGGCCCGGGACCGGCCCGAGGGTTGGACGGGTCCGGTTCGGGCCGGGCCACCCGCCCGGGTCACGGGTCGGGTCCGGTTCGGGCCGGGCCGGTTAATTTTTTTATATATAATTTATATTTTATAGTTTATAGTTTGATACGAGTATTAAAAACAAACTTCAATTGCATTTATTTGAAATGAAATAGGAACTACATTTGAAAATTAAAACAAACTTTAAGAGATAAACATTTTGAAAATTGTAATCAATCGGAACTTCCCGCACCTCCCGATCCTTTGGCTTTGTCACATGACTTCATATGCTTGATTGCCATCCCGAATCCGCCTGAAGCCCCCATAATACATTTTTTTCGCACCATTTACAAATTGTGTACCACATCCCGGTCTTCGGGTCCTTCTGCTTATCAAAATTATACCGTATAATGGCATTTTGATTTTCCATCTTAACTTCTTGGAGAAGAGAATTAGAGAGTAGATATATAATATATTGGAGAATAAGAGAATTAGAGAGTAGAGAGTTAAGAATAGGATTTAGGAAGAATTGGAGAAGAGATATGAAAAAATGTTTAAGAGTAGGAGAATTTATAGGTTTTTTTACCCCCCACCCCCACCCCCACCCCACCCCCTACCAGCCAACCCCCCCGGACCCCCCCTTTACCCCACCCAACGGCTATATAGCCGTTTGGGTTGTCCCCAGCCCCACCCCCAAGGCCTCAACGGCTAGTAGCCAAAAATAAAAAAAAAAAGTTTTTTTTTTTAAAATAGACCCGGACCCGGACCCGGGCCCGACCCGGCCGAGCCGGGTCACAAAAATGATGAACCGAGCCCGCCCCACCCCTTCCCCCCGGTTCGGGCCCAGACCCGGTCCCGGACCGCCCGACCGGGCCGGTCCCGGGCCCGCACAGTACCGGGCCGGGCCGGGCCGGGTCACGGGCCGGGTGGCCTGAACCGAATCCATCCCTAATCGCTATCCACCATAACCACGTCAAACACCAAATCTTAACACTTCACAGCAATTCACAACATCCCATGCAAATGCTCCAAGTCATGATAATCTACCATTATCTTGCTCCAATAATGAAATCGCCAAAAACTTGCCCTTGCCGAAAAACACTTCCCAATGCAATATCAACTTATTCCTTACGCTCTCCTTATGACATACAGACATACTATCCTCCGTTCCGTTTTAATCGCAACATGTTGAAATTTACAATATTCACATGCTCTACTTTAACTACATTTTACGCTATTATTTTATGAAAATTATTTTTTAAAAAAAATATTGTTCAATTCATCTCATTACAAATATTCAAAATCTGATTTTTAATATTTTTTACTAATAGAATTAAGATATAATTACGGTCAAAGACGTGCATTGGCAAATGTGAAATGTTGACCGTTGCAACTAAAAAAGAACGGAGGGAGTATTATTTTGCCTTATACTATCTTGTCATCATCTCTAAGACTAACTTTGCTGGAAGCATGGAATAATAAATAAAATCATCGTCTACATTACAATGTGGATCAAGGAGTCAAGGTTGATATGATAATAGTGTACCAAAATCCTTGCATTTTCACGAGTATCATAAAAACACGAGTTGAAAATGACACTCACGGGACGATTCAAGGTGTAAAAGTGATCTCCCCAAGCATAACGCAAAATATTTGACCATAGTCTATACTCTATAACAAGGTTAATGTATGTACAAATGCTGATTTAGACGCCAAAAAACATTTAACAGAATGAAGCTTCTTAGGTAAGCATATGAACAACTATACACATTGCCATTGTCTCTTCAACTTTGGACGGAAGCTTGCTTGAGTCACCCCTACAATTGTAAATTATTTTATGACATTAACTGCAATTATTGCTAATAGGCTTAGATATGCTTTTGTCCCTAGAAATGTAACATTTTATGTTTTAAATCCCTCAAAACACTTGATGTTTTTGTTACTCATCCATGCATTTTACATCACTTTGTTTTTAGCCCCTCACCATCAGCCACCATTTAAAACACGAGGCATGCAGAACTTTCCAATCGCTTTTTATATGTTTAATATATTATTACCAAAGCCAGATTGAAAGTAGGTGTTACAAGTACCCTTTCACCCTAACTCCTACTATAGTCACTCTACGAGTTAAAGAAAGGTGGAATGACACAGACATAAAACATTAAGCATCATTGAAAATTGCTGAGGAAAGGCTTGACGGAGTTTCTCTTAACCACTTCAGTTTATTTTTAAAAACAAAGACGAATAGGGATTAAAAAAGAAAGTAACCTAAATTACAAGGATAGATAACAAAAAAAATGTGTGGGCTTAAAACAAAAGTGCCATATATGTAGGGAAGCAACTATCAAAATCATCGTCAGTGTCACTGTCACGACCACCACCACTATAAAGGTGGAACTGAGCTCAATAAGATTTCACCAAATGCAAATTCATCAGGTCGTGGCTGAGATGTGTACCTCATAATGAAGTTTTGAGTGTCATAATTTAAATTTCTCTCAGAATATAACAGCAGTGACCCCTGTCCCATTAGCTGGTCTCGGAAGCAGTATTACGCCCGAACTGAATGACAATGGGCTTGCCTTTAAACACATACCCATTCACCAGGTTCTGCAGTTATTATTATTCTCTATAAGCATTAGGAAAAGTTCAACAAACACAACAATTAGTGTTTAATTAATTGACAACAAAAAGTTACGAGACAACAGTTGACGATGTGCAAGAATCTTATTGACAGAAAAATCCAGAACCAGCAAAACACCAATATATCGACATGCTCTTAGGAATATCATAGGTTTTTGCTAATCATCAGATGTATAATTTGCTCATACTTTTGCATGTTCTACTCATTAAAAATGCCATCGCTGTTGAAAGTACTTCATGCACTGCAGGTAATGACGAAAACTAGCACCTCATGTGAAATATCAGTAACTAGGGGTGTTTAGATGGAGGGTGTATGAGGGCTAAGCCTATATATAGATATTTATGTTTGAGATTTTTACAAGAAATTGAAGGGATCATAAAATCAAAATATGTTTAGTATTAACAAAAAAATAACCGACCAGATGAATTATGAGTTTGACTTTTTGCATGTCCTCAGAAATTGAAAGTAGCCGTGAATTCTCTTGATTGGTGTCTGACCTTGAACCATTATATAAATAAACGGGCAGATGCTCTTTCCCATTATGGATTGCAATAGTATGAGCAAACATTTGTGGAAAAAATCCATAAAAATGGTGGGTCAACAAGATAGAATGAGCCCTTCTTTGCATGATTTTATTTTCTAAAGGTGAACCAAAATCTATAAAGATATTGGTGGATTCTTTGCATGATTTTAGTAGGGCTTCTGGCCTTATGGTAAATCAAGAAAAATCCAATATCTTTGTAGGTGGTAACATTGCAAGTAAGCTACCACATATCCTACAATTGGTAGACTTCCAACAAGGATCCTTCCCGGTGAGGTATTTGGGTATTCCTTTGGCCCCGTTAAAGATTTTTGTAGCCCAATTCTCTCCTTTGATTGATACGATTACGGAGTATTTCAATGCATGGAATACCAAATCCTTATCCTATGCGGGGAAAGTTGAGTTGATAAAGTCTGTGGTGCAAGGTGTACAATCATTTTGGTTAGGGATCTTTCCAGTTCCTAAAACTATTTTGGATAGAATTGTTAGCCTTTGTTGTGTGTTTTTGTGGGGTGGGAAGCATGCTAAAGTGGCTTGGGAGGATGTTTGTTTACCCCAAAAAGAAGGTGGGCTTGGAATTAGGGACACTAAAGTGTGGAATAATGCTTTATTGTCCCATACCTTATGGAATATTCACTCAAAACAAGATACGTTATGGGTTAGGTGGGTGCATGGTGTCTATCTCCATGGGAGAGATGTGTGGACCTTCGTTCCACACAATAGGGACTCACAATTGATGAAAAGAATGACACTCATCCGTGACCTAATTGTGTCTAAATACCCATCTATAACCGAGACCATCACTCACCTTGGTAAGATGGTCTATAATGGTAAGTTATCCTCATCCAAGGTTTATGATCTCCTTAGACTTAAAGGCACATCTCAGGCATGGATGCCTTTCATTTGGAAGGCTTATATCCCGCCAAAGTTTTCATTCATTTTGTGGCTTGCATTTCGCAATAGGCTGCCCACCTATGATAATATGATATACCTTGATGTGGTTAACATTTGTCCATTTTGTAAGGGTGGTCCGGAGACGGTACCACACCTATTTTTTGAATATTGTTGCACAGGGCAGATTTGAAATAAGATCAAAGAATGGCTCGGCATTACAAGACAAATGACATCCTTGAGAAGTGCAATCAAGTGGATCCAAAGAGAATGCAATGGAGCCATGCTTGTCACGGCGTCGCCTAGGCGTCGCCTAGGCGTCCAGGCGCTGGAGAGTGCTCGCCAGGTAAGCTCGCCTCGCCGGAAGAAGAATAGTCAAGGTTGGCGTCGTCCAGGCATGAAGTTGGCGACAAGTCGCCGCCTACTTTTGCCCAGTCGAAAAGCCGTCCGCGTTCCGCAGGCCCAAAAATGAGTAATTTAAGGTTTAATTTTTTAGTAAACTAATTTAATTAAGGATTTAGGCTTTTAATTAGAAACAAAGCCCAAATCTAACTTAAGAAGCAGAGTCGTAGAGAACAACTCACAGGACCAGACGAACCGTAGAACTTCAGGAAGCAGAAGAAGTTGTCGGTCTCTCCAGTCGCCATCCCCGGTCCGTCGTTGAAGGCTTGAAGCAGACGACCAGAAATAGGTCCACCGATCTCTTATTGGCTTCTTGTGTAGCGGTGTAGTGGATTTAGTTTTTAAATATTTTAATTAATTAAGTGGTATCAATATATGCGTATATATATACTACAATACTTCTATACTGCGTATTATATAAAACGGTGAACATGGTGATATAGACTATTAAACCATTAATTTATTTTACCGGTGATATCTTGATGTGCTCGTATTAGACTATTAGTTTAATAATAAACTATAAAACCATTCATTTATTATTTATTATATGCTATATAATAAAGTGCAGAACTGGTGAATGGTGATATATATTGATATGCTCGTATTAGTTTTATAATAAACTATTAAACCATTAGTGTATTATATATTATACATAATATATAACCATATATATAATTATATATAATATATTTTATATTATACATATATAGACGACTATCCGCCTAATTGTCGCCTAGGCGGGCGCCTTATCGCCTAGGCAATATGGCGGTCGACTGGCGCCGCGACTCGACTTACCGCCGTGACAAGTATGAATGGAGCGCATATAAGGGCTAAAGCAACAAGGATAGCATTCAGCTACACAATATATTGGATATGGAGAACCCGAAATGCAATTTGTTTTGATGGAGCAACTCTAAAGATGGATGTCATGATTACACATATCAAGTATATGGTGTATAAAGTGCTCTACTCAATCTACCCGTATCATATGATTAATTTTTGAAGCATAAACTCTCTTTTTTGTCACGGCTTGATGGCTGCCTTTTGCTATTTGGAACTTTAGATAGCTTGCTTCGTTAGCAGCTGATGTTATAGGGTATCCATGCTTGGATATGCCTACATTTTTGTCCATACCTTGTACATAAACTTTGGTTACTAATATATTTACATTCCACCAAAAAAAAGTATTGAAGTACCATGTATCTAAAGTGACACAAAACAATTCAATGCTAGTTCAGTTAGTTTGTAGGATTGTACTAATAGCTAATTAGTTAAGGATATATACAATGTGACGCTGACTACACATCACATATCATTGGTTTATTTGAATTATTACACAACACCAAAATGTAGGTTCCATTGCTGTAATCTTCATGAAGTTAATCACAAGTAGGGAAAATACAAACACATTCAGAAGAACCATAGCTTAATTCAATTCAGAAACATAAAATAAGAATAAAAAGAACCATAGCTTTAAAAAATGTAGGGAAAGACTAAATTAAATTCATAAGACATACCAATGCATTCTGAGCTAGTTCAACTGTCGGGAATGTAATAAAAGCTTGACCACGCATTCTTCCTTCCTAAGTAAGCATTCAAAAAGCTGAAAGTATTGTTATCAAGTTTTGTGCACAGTGCAATATGTTAGTTTTTGTCTACTCCGGTAAAATATGATATAACAAATTAACAAATGTCTACTTTTGTATATATTAAAACATCTATTTTATGATAATTTTACATTTTTCTATTGTTATTTCAGTTGTGTTTTCAAACAAATCCATTTCATTCAGTTAGCATTTCAGTTTCAGCAACTTCTATCTAGCCCCATACAAAAGTCTCTTAATTACACAATAGATTCCAACTTCATCTCATTTTTCCAAACATAGCCTTCGACTACTCTTGCTATCAAGTTGACATTCTGGAATGAAACCCCAAATCTTAAGATGTTAAAAGGGTTATTGGACGTAGTCGATCACATGATTTGCCTCTTGTTTTCTCTATATGTGGTACTCAGCAAACCAAAAGCTCTTTTTTCTAATTAACTTCCCAAAGTTGTTTCATTTTTAGTTGTCATAATATGAATGTATAATATATTGCATGCATTTGGATATAATTTTGAAGTTCATATTTCAATAACCTTTTCTATTTCAAAATAAAGTTTATTCCCATTTTCTAGATGCAAAAAGTCTATACAGGGCTTCTTCACAGCTTCACACATGTCTTTGTCCAATGAGTGGTTCATGTCATTATTTATGATCTCATTTGGTGATAATATATATCAGTCCACCAACAAGATGGAGAACAACCATGGACTGGTCACAATCTTTATATAGGTGCAAGTCAGATCTAGACTGAGACACTAAAGATACTCCGTATTTTATATTATTCTTTACTTCCCATACAATACTTAGAAGTTGCATTTATTCAAAGTAAGATAAAGGTAACATTTTAACATTTGGAAGATACTTATGTCAGTTTTGATGAGAAATAGTATTGCCATGATTTATAAATTACTCTGTATGAAGAAAATATGAAGTCTTCCTATTTAATTAATTAGTTTATTAGTTTATTTATTTGAGTGACTAAACATACATTTGTTTAACAAACTCATTGTCAATGTTTCTTCTAATTCACGTATCGTTTGTTCAATCACTTAAATTGGCATTTAATGACTATTCCTGAAAATACTCACAATGATGACCACTAATCCTTGGACATTATAATTTAATCCCAAAACCAACACATAAGAAGAGACTAAAATCTAGAGAAGATGAAGCATCCACAATTAAGTAATGGTTTAAAAAAATCACGAGCCTTCTCGGATCAAACGAAGTTATGACAAAAGAAGGTTCAAGACATCATAATAATATTCAGAGCCCGTTTGGTAATATCGATATCGGCTGAATCGGCTTATTCTGTTGAAATTTATGAAGTTCTAGCTGAAGTGGCTGGATTGGTTGACTCTGCTCAATTATGAAAAAATATACGTAGTATTTATTATATATTTTATTAATAAAATAAAGAAAAAAATTATACTTTTTGTATGAAAAATAGCTAAGCGAAAACAGCCAGAAAAGTAACTTAAATCTTACTTTTTCTTATTATTACAAAATTCAGCTCGCGAAATTAAAAGTTGCATGGTTGGTGAAAAAATCGACTTATAAGCCTCATAAGCTGAAAAACATGATCACCAAATAGGCCCTCAGATTTCAGATCATAGCTCAAGTGCATCAGTCTAGACTTCCAACATACATCCCCAGCTAAAAAACCTATGGGTCACGCCCACCAAGCTTTTTGTATAAGTCCTATTACACGCTTATCATTGTTGTGTTGCTTTTTTTACTTGAAGATTACTATACTTATTCAATGCTTCAACCTCATGTATTCAGAGCCATTAATCTCAAGAACTTGGTTAACGACCTACACTGCTACACTACAACAAGGTTTTGAATATCAATAGACCTTTTGCTGCTACTGAGTGATATATGACTAAAAGGTAGGCATTTCAAAATAACTGACTTCCCATTATAAAGACAATTCCTTAAGTGCAAAAAAATCTCACCTGCATTAACTTCACAGTCAGACTGGATCTAGCAGCATCAGTACTTTCAAAGAAGGATCCTGTGGATTATTTAACATGAGACTAGACACTTTCTTTTCTTTAGTCAATACTATTAAGAGTTAAGGACTTGAGGCTAACAAATAACGAAAAAGAAAATCAAATACATTAGACTAAGAAAGAGCATATCTACTGACCAAAAATGAAGTAGAAGTCATCTGTAATTACATCCCTTGACAAGTTCTTGATGTACAACACCCTAGATGGATCCCCGACAGAATAATTCTGTGCAATCCATGTAGTAGCACACCATTTAGGCTAAAATTACCAATATTCTGGTTGTTGAACTATTTAGCTCTCTATATTTACCATTACTTATCTGGTACGAGAATAACTTGCATGACATTTTATGAGTTTAACATGTACAGTAACAAAATCTCCTACCTTGAACACTGGAAGTGACAAAATTTCTTCAGGGACCAATTTCCCACTCTTCAATTCTTCAATAGTCAGAACAGGCTTATTATCTGAATTCTCCGCATCTTCCCCATGTACATCTCTTGTACTATCATCATTCATCCGGTCAGAATGAACTTGTTTAGGTGCTATTTTGATCTGCAAACACATAAAACTAATTACCATCATATCTGAGTCATGAGGAAGAAAATGGAGTACATAATGAATTTTAGAATCATCACAATAACCTGCAATACGGAGTTCTTCTTTTTTATCATTGGCATTTCTTTTGGAAGCAAAACAGCAGGTTTCAATCCAACAGCCTCATGAGCGACATCTTTGTTCACCGCAGGACCAACAATAGCTTCTCGCTTCACCCGCTTTCTTTTAGGGCCACCAACACATGGAGGAGTTTCCTGATACATGAATTTACAAAATCATGATAATTTGTCTTCTTCTATTTTATTTAAAAAAATGCAAGTTCAGAATAAAACAATCAAAGATATGAAATGGGGTATCATAGACAAACTATCTATACAGCCTCCACATGGTATCTATATTATGCCAATATTTACGTCACTGTGTCCATACACCAAGTCACTAACCTCTCAGTCCCTCAGCATGAATCGATGTCCTCTTCCAAAAACCCTCTATATTAATGTCAGTATAATTATGGTACAGAGAGAAGAACACGCACTCAAAAGAGATGAATGTAAGGGGATAAAATCTCCTATGAAGAAAAAGGCTCTCCTTAAACAACCCTTCCAAGATAAAATAATAAAGATTAAACTGATGAGGGCAGAATCTCCTTAATTCGCACCAACAACATCCAAGCCTTAATCCCAAAAGAATTTGGGGTCGGCTAACATGAATCGGTCTATGATATCGATGCCAAAAAGAGAAGGCGGACTCCTTAATTCGCACCAATTATAATAATAGAGCAGAAGCTGAATCAGATGTCGAGTTCGTCATCCTTGAAACGAAGGAGCTCTGATACCATTATAGAAGTTCAGATAGGATGAATGAGGAAGAAGTATAATAATTCTCATTAAACAGAAATGATGATTACAGAGAGTATTTATAGAGGTTACAGTACAACTGAAACTAACTAACTAACTGAACATAACTAATACAATCCGTATAGTATATCTAACAAGAACTCATAAATATCGGCAATCTTGTTAAAAACCCAGGAAGAAATTAAGTGAGTTAATTATATGTCACAGCTAATGGTAATGGTTCTAATTTGTTTTCTTTTGATTTTGAAGAATAAGTATCTAAACTTTTTTTCTTTTTTAAGAAAAGTAATTTTTTAAATAAAAGAGAAGTCAAAGTACAATCGCTAATGAGATTACATCCCTAGCCCCTAGGGGGCTGAAGCCAAACGATAATGAGAGTCAAGAGCAAGTGAAATAAAAACTACAAATGAAAGAGAGCAAAAAGAAAAAGAACTAAAGACAGATGAGACTTTATTCCAGCCATATAAAATCCTCAAGCAATAGAAAACTCCAGAGCAATCCATTTCCATATCAGAAAACCCCATAAGAAGTCCCAAAAAAGCGTTAAGGGAAAGTGCTGAGCCCGTTTAGTTTGCTGCCGAAATTGCGCATTCCTAAACAAAGAGGGGTTGGTCCTTGTGTCCCTCTTGGAGACAACAGAAGTGAAACCATCATCTTCCTCTTGTTTAGGTTCAAGAAGTGCATCCTTGTAAATAGGAGACTCCTTATAGCTAGGGTGATCTTTGAGTGTCTTGTGCGTTAGAATTTGATGTGGTCCTGAGTCGCGTAAAACCTCTTTAAAAATTTTACATGTGAGGCCTGCGGTATCTGGAGTCACTTTCTCTAAAATCAAGTAAAGGAATTTATTCATGGTGGAACGGTCCGAGTATTTTCGTCTAGGTAATGTGCTGCAGCATCAAAGAGAACAGATAGACCTACCCCATAATTATCAAGAGTGTGCAAAAATTCTTCTAAACTATATTCCTAACTTTTGAAGTGGCCCTTTTAACTGTTCCTTCGCCAACTAGGTATCTAAACATATATTGTGGGTGTGTTTATGTGTATAAAAGTCAGGGTTGTATTGTGAAAAGTTCTACTTCATTTTCTGCAAATGGTATAAGTACCTGACACTCAGATACTTCTACTAACTCTGATTGTCATTTGAGTTTTCCAGGTGGATAAAGTTAGACAAAAATGATTCCATTACATGGAAAATGTTTACTATGAAAGTAATATATTTCAACAAAACGAAGTGTTTGGAATCAATATGAAAATGTAGAATTAAAACTCCATGAAATATCATTTTAAACATTTCAATGTTATAAAGATTCATTGAATATCAGATTTAATATGAAAAAATGCCGCACATGCAAAAAGTTTGCATACCTACAGAGTAGGGAAAGAAAACCATGCCCTAGCATTAAAATCACTTTCACCACTGGAAAGAATTTCATCTTCTATTTTCCAAAAAAGGCGCTCCCTAACTGATTTCAAATAGGGGCCCTTGTTGGAGGTTATCTTTAAAAAATTTAAGGAACCCTATATGACTCCCTTATGGAGTCATATGGGCTAAGGTGACATCACCACAACCACTCAACTTTTTAGTGGTGAGTTCTATAGGGATCCATAAAAGCACTCAGGTTATCTTAGGTGTGCTCCCTGAGGGTCTATGGGGACCAGTCTCAACATATAAAACATTAAATACTGTTATACCAAAATATCACCCTACCTCATCAGAAGACTCCATTTCTGATTCACTGCTCAACAAGTTGTTTGCTGTAGTTTCATTATCTGTTGGTGGAGGAGGTGGTGGAGGTTGAGGGGTGAAAGATGCTGGGATTGGCAGAGGTGGAGTGGGCAGTGCAGTCCGGAATGGAGCAGGGATATTCATCTTGTTCATCAAGTGTAAGACCTGCAATTCATATCTTAAGCACACAAAGAAAGTAAAATAAACTAGCCAAGTAGCTGATGGAATTGGTAAATATACTAATCATGTTAAATACTCTAGAAAGTCAAAGTTATTTAGTACTACGTATATGTTAATTATTTACAGTGTATATAATGTATTTACAGTCATATAGAGTATACTGTTAGAATAATCAATCAAATAGGTTATCTAGGAAACTAGTTAATCAGTTTCTTATTCTTTAGCAATTAGAGCCCGTTTGGTAACTGAAATTGGGTGAATCTGAAATTGATGAAACTCTGACTCAAGCGGCTGAATTTGATGGTTTAAGGAAAAGTTATATTGAAAATATATTTTATTGATTAAATAAAGAAAAAATTATATGAAACATGTACACAATTTAACGCGTGAAATCAAAAATTAAGTGTTTACTAAAAAAGCTGGTTGATAAGGCGGATAAACTAAAAAAAATAAGGGTTACCAAACGGGCTTGTAGTTTCCTAGTCTTTAGTTAATAGTTCATATTCCGAATCCCGATCTACTCTATTTAAATGCCTTTGGTCATATCAAGTATCTGAATGAAGTCCATTACTTAGCCTAAAACTACAAGTACAGAACAAGCACAATAAAGGAGAAACTTCACGGTCCATGTCTAGTAGATGAAAAATAATATAAAGGAGAAAGGCCAAAAATAGAAAACTAATGTTACCTGTGTGTAAAACCGTGGAACAGCGATAAGAGCATTTACAATATTAGTCAGAATGTGTCCATCAGGTGGAGGGTATGCATATCTGTTCCAAAGCAGATTATTCAGTGATAAGCAAACATCATCGATGACTAGAACTTATGGGAATTAGCAGCAAACAAAAATAATCTCCTCATTAGCTAGTATACAATTTATAATTATTTATGTAATCATGTTGTTTGTCTACAACAAAGGGAAGAATTTGGAGTCAGCTAACATGAATCGATCTATGATATCGATGCCAAACAGAGAAGACGGACAAGAAGACGGACAAGAAAGGGAAGAAAAAAAAGTAAGATAAAACGAATAAAATAATGATAAATAAATATAAGATAACAATAACACAAGAATATAAGAAATATAAAAGATAAAAAATAAAAGAGCACAAAAAAGCTAGAAGATAAAAATAACATAAGAATATAAAAAGATAAAGAACATAAACGATAAAAGAAAAAAGAGAGGAAAGGTAGAAAAGAACAGTAATCATGTTGTTTGTCTATGAATAGAAAACCTAGCAATGCTGGTAAACTCCCTTTGCATGCAGTAGCTATGGCTACACCGGTATATGTTTAGATAGAAAAAACGCAATCGAAATTGATGGAAGTATGCACTTTCATAGTGACAAAGTAAAGCAGGAAACTATAGTAGATGGAAATGACAATGAATATGAGCATCTAATGAAGCCCAATAACTGTGCTTACTCAAGATGAGGTGGAAACGGATATTCCACTCCAAGTCTTTCAGCAATTGGTTCATTGCGTAGGTAGGATATTGAGCTTCCATCACAATCTTTGTATGAAGCACTATCTTTGTTCAAATTGATTGAATCCTTGCCAGTGCCATGAACACTCTGCTGTTGATGCTTGTCTGCCTCAGTTCGTTTACTAGCTCTTTCAACAGATAATATCTTACCAAGAAACCGCAGTCTGATAAAAGTAAACGCACTCAGGGTACTGATAGCTAGAAACCGGACAAAAAAAAAGATAAATGGAATAAATAAATGAATGAAAAATAGTACCCATTCAACTGCCTTTGTGCTTGATATGCCAATGCTTCATCCTTGAAATCTACAAAGGCACAATTTTTTACACTGGGGATGCCAAATGAGGCCAGGGTTAGTATCCCATATTTATTACTCACACATCTTACAACACTTTATAATTATTACTGAAAATGAAAGCTTATTAAAGATTTTGATTTTGATTTTTGAGTGAGTAAAGCAACTGTTTCCAGAAGTTTTAAGCGTGCGAATAATAATTGACTAAATTCATGCATTCCGTTCAATTGGAAAAGAAAAACATAAGCAAAATCAGCACGTAAGTTCTAATGTCTAATGGAGTGCACTAACCTTCCATGAGTACAAGGCCGGACAGAAGATGCGCCGTAGTGAGTTAAGAGTCTAGAGAGAGTTTCGGGAGGGATAGCTTCCGGGAGATGCCGAATCAATATGGTCTCTGACGCTTCCTCTGTAGCCATTTTTTCGGAGAAACGAGGCCCGCCGCTGACGGTGGAGAAAAAGCAATAACCCCGACTGTATTTGGGCAGGCGGGAATTGACTCAGATTTTTTCAGAGCATCTACGAGACTCCAACGTGTGGCTTTCTAGTCTAACTCATCAATTTAGACATTACCTGTGTAATACATCCTCCGACGCGCAGGTAGTCTGCAATTCATTTTTGCTGAGTTGACAAGTTAATAGCTAGACACCGTGAAGACAAAACATCCCCTTTTTCTTAAAAAAAAGCACTTTTTTGTTCGTCCCCAACTCGGAATGTTAGGGCTACCCACACATTCTTGTTTGATTGCTCACTAACCCTTGGTCCAAGGTGGAATCTCCCACCCTAGGAGCCCCCCATACCCCGACCCGACAGGATTTTTGGGAGGATGTTAATCATGGTGACTCAGTCGGCCCAATGATGGTAGGACTTTTTCCCGTGCGCACCAGAGGCCCAGTCTTATTTCAGGTTCTGTGACCTTCACACGGCCGCTGCGGGTTTCGAACCTTGGTCACTTGGTCCAAATTTCCCACCACTGAACCAACTGAGCTACCCGTGCGGATAGATTGCTCACTAACCCAAGTAGCCTTAAGGGTGTCGAAACGGGTTGTAATTGTATAGCGGTATCTCAAAATATAAAGTGTGAGAGCATCTCCATTCATGATCTCTAATAATCAATTTTTTATATGATTCTTACCATTTAAATATTGTTATGTAATTAATTATAAAATAATCTCAAAATTTGTTTACGTCTCTCAATCATCATCTTCAAATAATCTGTTTTTCTATGTCCCGCATTTATCTCTATTACATATACTTTTCAAATAATCTTAAAATAATCCGAATTCATATTTTGATCCCAGATTATTGTAGCAAATAATCCTATTAAATAATCTATGTCACTCATTGATAATTCTCTAAAAAAACTGTCATGTCACCAATTTAATCTTGTAATAATCCTCCCAATGAGGATGCCCTGAGTGGAGAAAGAAGTCTAAACTTGCTGACTCACTAAAATTAACAAAACTTAATAGGAAGTACTATGGATATCTTTGACGATCTCTTTCTCTTTCCTGAAGTCATATATTGAAATAATCAAAGAGGTTTTTAGATAATATTAAAGACTAAACAATAACTCCCTATCTACGACCCATCTGTATCTACGCGACGCGCATCCCATCCCTATCTGCGACCCATCTGTATCTACGCGACGCGCATCCCATCCCTATCTACGACCCATCTGTATCTACCCGACGCGCATCCCATCGATAGCCTCGGCCCTGCTGAGTTCTTCGTTCGACTGTTTGTCGACTGTTTCTGTTGGAGCGTGATAAATTCGCCGGCTGGTGATAAATTCCTGTAATAGATTTTAGGTACAACCTAATCAGGCCCGCCCCAACTAATGAATTTAATAGATTTTGGGTCTTTGACAAAAAAGAGTATGAATAGAGTGAAGTTATTTTTTACTCCCTCCGTCCCGAATTGAATTAGATTTTGCTTACACTTTATCGTAGGATGAAGAGTAGGGAGGTGTGGAGGGGTAAAACTATGACTTCATGAAAGTCATATAAAGCTCATAAAGGTGGTAGCAAGGGAGTGCCATCAGGTTAGGTCTCGTGTTCGAATCTCGACAATTGCGATGAAGGTTACTATGCTAAAAATGCATACGGCCTCTGCAAGTATCGCGGACAGAGTTCCACTCTCTATCGCGGACAGAGTTCCACGTGTGTGCCATGTCAACGTGTGGCGCGTAACCTGCTAATTGAAACTTTTTAAAAAGTTTCGGGATTTAATAGATTTTTTTAAAAATACAAAGGACTTAATTAATGTTTTCGTAATAGTATGATGATCAAATCGACGATTTTCCCTAAATAATACTACCTCCTTCACACTAATATTGAGAAATAGGGAGATGATACAATGATAAACAATGTGACTTTATGGGGCTGATATTGAACTCCTCCTCCTCCGCATCATTACCCCCTATACTAAAGCACATAGAGACGGTTTCCTTTAAGACCAATAGTGAATATCGCATGAAAAGTTGCATGAGCTGACGGCTGCTTCATAACAAAGAAGCGCGGACGGTTTAATGAGTCGTTTTGTTTTATTTCATCATATTCCAAAACCAAAAAATAGTAAGTCGTTGGCTCCATTGCAAATGATGGAAGTTGTTGGTATAATATTGAATTGATAAAGTAAAAATGAATTAATCAAACATTCCAGCCCAGTTGGTTGCGAGGTTACCGTGCCTCGTGGGAGGTTTCGAGTTCGAAACCCGCTAGGCACACAAGGGTTTGAAACTAAATAAAGTGAGTTTCAACCATAATTACTCCAACCCCCCAGTCTCCCTCCCCCCGACCCCCTGAAGTAAAAAAAAATATGAATTAAAATCATACAAACTTTACGAAACTTAATATGAGATAATTTTAGTGAGACAATTAAAAATTGAATGATGTAACAATCTTAGTGAGAGTGAAAGTAGGAGTTTTGATATTTCTTGTTATAGTTAGTTTATATGAAAATGATAAATTTATCGTAAGACACACAAAATAAGAAAAGTTGAAAGTTGCTTTGGAGATGAGGTATTATATTCATTTCTCATAAAGAGAATATTGAACATGGAAATCTCAAATAACTACACTTGGCAAATAAATTTACTCTACTATCTATTTTTAGATAAAAACATCAACATTATATTAATAATTAGTGTGTCAATCGGCTTACAATAAACGAAGGTGGGCTACAAAGGTCCCGTTGGTATAACGGCGGATTGAGCAATCCGCCGTTCTTTTTGAATTACAAACCGCTGCTAAAAGCAACGTGTTGGCATGCACCCGCTAGAAATATCATAGGCTTAAAAACGATTACTCTTGTAATAACTTGAGCTACTTGATTAGCTGATCTCCCACACTTGAGAAGCATATTGATCCCCTTCAATCCCCTATACCACTAAGGCCACATCTGTTTCAACAATACCGGACGCCACCATTATTTCTCACCCAAAAAAACTTCTCGGGCTCCCAAAGCTTTTGCTTCCATTGGAGACCATATATGAAGCTGCCGAACTTCTGCTATGAGCCTTAATAAAATTGCCTTCCATTTGAATACTTTATTGTCTTTTCTCATAAAGAAGTTCTTGTTTAAGAACTTCTGCCGAACTTCTCCTTTTTGAATGTGAGTAAATGGAGACGTTATTTTTTGTTTATTAAATAAATACTCACTCAGATCTTAAATAGAGTTCACACATTCCTTTTTGGACCGGTCCAAAATAAAGTTCACACTTCTTCTCCCTTTCTTATTTGACAAATTATCTACATCAAAACAGTACCAAACAATGCAAAACAATGTCAAACAGTGTCATAACAGTGTACTCTATAGTAAAGTCAAATTTGTTTCCTTAATTTGTGGGAAGTCAAACAATAAATTTTATTTAGGACCGTATGTTTTACTATCTTCAAAGACTCCGTATAATGATTGCATAATTCCAAACAAATCCGCACGGGTAGCTCAGTTGGTCGAGTAGTGGGAGATTTGGAACAATGGACCAAAGTTCGAATCCCCGCAGCGACCGGGTGGAGGTCACAGAACCTGAAATAAGGCTGGGCCTCTGGTGCGCACAGGTGTATGAGCCTACTTCCATTCTGCTGACCGAGTCACTGTGACTAACCTCCCTACCATCCTGTCGGGTCGGGGTGGGGGGCTCCTGGGGTGGGAGATTCCACCTTTTGGAACAATGCATAATGTCAAACAAATAACCATGTCAAAACAATGCACTTCATATTAAAATTTACCCACAGTAAAAATATATTTCAAAAATCAAATGAAATTTCAAAAATTACTACACAGTAAATTTACCAAGGCTAAATTTAAACAATAATTAAATACGCATATGATATTTATCTCATCAAATTTCAACAAATTAAACAAAATTAAAGAACATTTAGATGCTGCTTGGTAACAATGTTATTCGGCTTATCAGTCAACTATTTCACCACATACGTAACTTTTGTTTTCATGTGCTAAATTGTGTAATAATAAAAAATGTAAGGTTAGAGTTACTTTTCTTGCTGTATTGGCTGAAGGTATCGTAGATAACCACTTTAACTATTTTTACCTATCATTTTTTTTATTTTATTAATAAAATGTATTTTAATTTTTTTTAAATCCGCAGAACCTGACATGAAGCCACTTCAGTTATAATTTCATAAGTTCCAATAAAATGAGTCGAATCAGACAATTTTCATATTAAAAATGCATATTTAGAGACATGTTGGACCACGTTAACAAAAAAACAAGACTCATAGATTTTCTTAGATACGAAAGGGCCCATTTGAATTTGTATGTGATGGTGGGACTATTCACAAACGACCGGATCCTATATATCCCAATCCACTTTATCCATTTATTTATCTAAAAAACACATATTCAGCGTGATTTTCGGAATTCCCTTATTATCCGTTCTTCTTGCTCCGCTTTTCGTGACACGTGTCCTGATGATGGGTGAATGACCGAATAGGCAAGCTCGCTCAGCCGTCGGATGTGGATACTATTGAAACGACAAGTCAAACTTTACGCTCGTCATCGAAACAAGGACAAAAGGCAAATAGGTTAAGGCAAGACGAAGAAAAATAAGGAAAGGGGCAAAGGCAAAGGATCACGCCATATCCATTTTCTCTTTTAAAACCCTAAAGTTTCGGCTTCGATTTCGAATCATTTCGCTCTACCGAAGCTTAGAGAACACCGATCTGACGGTTCATCCATGGCGGAAGTGGTGAGCAAGGTGGCCGGCGCTGCGTTCTCGCCGTCGAGTACGTGTTTTAGATCGGTGGCTCGTCGTTACAGTCAACGTGTAGTTTGCAGTTTTCCGGTTGGATCGGCTGCGCTTTCGCGTGCTTCCTCCGATGTCCAGTCTTTGAAGCTCCGGTGCGGAGCTCTGAGTTCGCCAAGCACGGATTTTGATGGCCGTGCTGTAGACATCGCAACGAAGGTCTCCTCCCAAGGAAATGGACGGAAACAGGTTTGTTAATCCTGAAGGCGAATTTCGTTTAGATATTATGATTTATCTTGGTTATTTACCATCTCCAGCACTCAAATCTGTGGCTGGACTATTGAGATTTCATTTTATATTCATTATTTGAACTATCAAAGGGTTGGTTTCAAGTTAGATCTATACGGAAAGTGTTTGTGCTTTAGGGAGGTTGATTTAGCAGATTGGAATGTTGTTGTTTAGATTCACGGCATAGGTTTTTACAGATGAGCATTGGAATCGGTAAAGCTCAAAGATGGTGGGAGAAAGGGCTTCAACCTAA